AGGGTGAATAAAATTTCAATCCCATGAACCTCTTTCATGGAATAGGCCGGAAATTAGTTCTTTTGCTGCGAATTTTCGTGAGGTTTAGTGATAGTTCAATCCGCAGTTAGATGATGGGGGGAATTTGTTCAAGAAAGCGAGACCAACCGGTCATTGAAGATGAAGTTCGCAGCGTCGTGGCTGGAAGATATGGTAAGAGTAGCAGTTCAAAATGGCTGAGGAATTCATCTTTTCGACCCGCTGTAGAGCTGCCTCCAGGAGGAGCAGGGGCTTGCCCATCTCTCTTGGAATTGTGCATTCGTAAAATATGCCAGGTACTTGCTTTCTGTGGAATGTAAGCTTGAAGTTATCTGTGTTGTGAGAGGAGATTATATGTGTAGTAATTTTCAGGTTGTGATTTGTATTTGCATATCGGTTACAGGACATTGACAAATATAGCTCGTTTTCGATGCTGCCAAGGGATCTTAGTCAACAGATATTCAATGAATTGGTCTGTTCCAATTCTCTTACTGATGTTTCTCTTGAAGCTTTTAGAGATTGCGCCCTCGAGGTAATGTGCTTGTAGGTGGTTGAAATTTGGAAATTTGGAAGGGCTTTGTCATGTATTAGATTTTTCTTTTTCTTTTGTGATTGCAGGATATTGGTTTGGGGGAATACCCTGATGTGAAAGATAGTTGGATGAGTGTCATCTCTTCACAAGGTTCACATTTACTTTCCGTTGATCTTTCCGGTTCAGAGGTGACAGATTCTGGGTTGGCTCTTCTGAAAGGCTGCTCGAACCTCCAAGCATTAACTTATAATTACTGTGACTATGTTTCTGAACAGGGACTTAAACTCATAAGTGGTAAAATCTCTGTCTTCTATTCGTTGTATCTTTTCTATTTTTCCAATTTAAGCATTTTTCATTTATCTTGTTTATTTTGTGCTAAGTTGTCACTTAACGATACGGTTTATTGCTAGAGATGATAAAGTTAATTTAATTTGATCCTTTCCTTAGTAATTCCACTTAGTCTTTTTTATCAGTTAAACTTTTCATGTGATTGTGAATGCTTATTCTGACCTTGTTTTGTAGGTCTTTCAAACTTGACATCCTTAAGTTTTAAAAGGAGCGATGCAATAGGTGCTGAAGGGATGAGTGCTTTCTCTGGCTTACTTAACTTGGAAAAGTTGGACCTGGAGAGGTGTTCAGATATTCATGGTGGATTTGTTCATCTTAAAGGTTTGTCCTGCTTAAAAAATGAATTATGACCGTTTAACTAAATGGAACTTCTTGAGGCCATGAGAATTAGGAGTATATAAATCTAACTGAGGCCGTGAGCTCTGTTGCACTGTCACGAGTTTACAATTTGAGTGATTAGTGAAAGATTTTAGTATATGAAATTAGTGATTCATAGGGGGTTAACAAATTGTAACTGTATACTTGCAGGTTTGAAGAAACTGAAGTCTCTTAATGTAAGATGTTGTAGAAGCATCACAGATTCAGATTTGAAGGCCATCTCAGGTATTTTTTGAATGTTAGATGAATTTGTGTAGTGTTGTCATTAATTTTTCTGTCTTTCTTAATTGCAAAATCACAGTTTGGATCAACTCATGTTGCTCTTGTTTTTGTACTTCCCAGGGCTTACTGAGCTGAATGAGTTGCAGCTATCCAACTGTAACATTACTGATTTTGGCATTTCTTATTTGAAAGGTATAATATTGTTTCCGTAGTTTCCATAGTGATGCACCAAAAATTCTGCTGTCCCTCTCCTTAATTGTGTTTGTGTAGTAGGATGCACACGCTCACACATCTGACAAATACACCTCATATTGCTTGTTTATCAGTACTTTTTAACGCATAGCTTTTTGGTACATTTGTGCATGGCAGGCTTGCACAGGCTTAGAATGCTGAATTTAGAGGGATGCAATGTTACAGCCTCATGTCTGCAGTCAATTTCAGGTTTGCTTTCTCTTTGCTGTTTAGTGCTTTCTAATGATTCTGTTTATAACACTGATAAGAATTCTCAAGTCCGCGACAACATTTCAACGAAAATGTTCACTTTAGTATTTCTAAAAGACAAACTTCTTAAAGGTCTCTATTGCACAATTTTTGTTCTGTTATTTTAGGTGGTAAAGAGTATGGCATCCGATGTTTGGTTAAAACTAATTGTTTCTATTGCAGCTCTTGTTGCCCTGGCATACTTAAATCTCAACAGATGCGATCTATCTGATGAAGGATGCGATAAGTTTTCGGGTGAGTGACAAATTTTGTTGCCACGTGGTTCTGGCTATTTGTTTAACGGGTTTGCTCAATTTCTATATTTTCAACTGGCTAAGTAGCTGGTAATCTTGAGTTTGCCGCAGTAACCATATTCTTTTGCCGATTCACCCGATTTTTATAATTTTTATGTGGCTGAATTGTTGGTAATCTTGACTTTTACACACTGTTTCTACAGGACTTAAAAACTTGAAGGTTTTGAGCTTGGGATTCAACAATATTACAGATGCATGTTTGATGCATCTAAAAGGTCTCTCTCTCTCTCTCTCTCTCTCTCTCTCTCTCTCTCTCTCTCTCTCTCTCTCTCTCTCTCACACACACACACACACACGCACGCACGCACGCACATGCACACATACAACTATTCTGTATGTTATATTAAGTTTTTGCTTTTGTTCAAACGTTTATATTTGTTATTGCTTGTATCAGGTCTAACAAAATTGGAGAGCTTGAACCTGGATTCCTGTAAGATAGGTGACAAGGGGCTTGCTAATTTGGAAGGTTCTATTCTGGTTCTACCATCTTTCACTTGGATAACAGTGTTATAGTCTGCATGGTCTGTTTTTTTTTTCAATTGTTTAAATTGGTTTGGAAATGGGACATGGTGTTTCATTCGTAACTAGCATGAAATGTTTGCTAGAAGTGCTTGAGGTCGAAAGACGTGGCCGCCTATTTGATTTTGTGGTGTTGTTTCTATATTAAGGGCTGTCAATCTTGAAGAACTTGGAGCTATCTGATACTGAAGTTGGAAGCAGTGGGCTTCGTCATCTCTCAGGTGATGATTGCATTGCATCACACAGTTGCATAGTTATGATCTGAATGTTTTCCGAGTTCAGCGTAAGCTATAGAGTATGCTGAAGCTATGAATTTAAGCTACCTTGTTATTTTGTGGCTCAAATTCTTTGAAGGTGCCATTAATGTACAAAGTTAAACTGCACCGCATAATTGTTCTGCTAATCAGCTTGTAATATTTGGTGCATGTTCATCTTATTACGCTGTTTGTTATCACTTCCAGGTTTGAAAAATCTCGAAAATTTGAACTTGTCGTTCACTCCAGTAACTGACAGTGGCTTGAAAAGAATATCTGGATTGACATCTCTCAAATCGCTTAATCTGGATTCTCGCCAAATTACTGATGATGGACTTGCAGTTATTACAAGTAAGGATTTTTGTGTATTTTGAAGCCGTAGAGGGAATAGCTCGGCTTTTTGTTGAGAAAATCTTGCGATAGAAGCATCGAATTCCACTCAAATTATTCAAATGTTTTAGCTTCATTCACTTCCTGTGTGTTTGGTGGAAGCTTGAAGCCTTCTGTCCTGGTTAAAGAATTTATGCCTTGCTGATGCAGGTCTTACGGGATTGACACATCTGGACCTTTTTGGCGCTCACATTTCAGATTCTGGAACAAGCTGTTTAAAATGTATGTTATAACATTTGCAGAATAGAACGGGGGGGATTTGATTTTACGTTTTAACTTTCGCAACTTAGCGGTAATCTTCTCGTTTTAAAGTCACACTTCTGTATGCTTTTATTTTTGTTGGTGGAATCAGACTTCAAGAACCTTCAATCTCTTGAAATATGCGGTGGAGGATTGACTGATGCCGGTGTGAAGAATATCAAAGACCTCACCCGTCTTACAAGGCTAAATATATCACAGAACTGCAACCTGACCGATAACTCTTTGGAGTTGATTTCCGGTATTTTACGCTTCTGTTCTCTTATTTTCTTCTCCTAGAGCAGTTGCTGCATTGCTTCAGTGATCTGTTGCTGTAACTCTGACCAGATTTCAGCGACCGAACGTGGCATTTTAATTTCATCTGTACCTCTTCTCATGCTTCTTTCTCGTCTGAAAAATGCAGGATTGACTGCATTGGTGTCACTGAACGCTTCAAATTCTCGCATTACCAACGACGGATTGCAGCACTTGAAGCCTTTGAAGAACTTACGTGCGCTAAACTTGGAATCGTGCAAGGTGACCGCATCCGAGATCATGAAGCTTCAGTCTGATGCCCTGCCTAATCTCGTCAGCTTTCGGCCGGAATAGATCCGAAGCTGTGTAAGATACCATGTTAATTGCCTGCCATCTGCTCTTGGATAGCTGTGTGTACAGGTTAATAACTCCAAATGGATTAAGATAAATAATTAATAACAAATCCTGATCCCATTAAGTGGGGTCGGCTGTATGAATTCTAAAACTAGCTCGGTTTTGCGCCAAGTTTTTGGTAAGGTTTGAGATTTTATGTATTTTGTCCGTCACTCTAAAGGGTGCCGAAATTGGGGATGGAAAAACATTTGGCGCAATGTGATGCCAAACAAATGGCTGAGTTCATCTTTGATCTTGAAGTGAATTCTGTAGAATTTTAAGAAAACGATCGAGAATCATGAGTTATAGCTTATAGTTTATCTGAAAATTGTGATTTTTGAGTTTTCTACGATTTTTTACGTACGTGAAAAGAAAAATCTTGCAAGTCATTTTGAAGAGGGGCGAACATTTATTTAGTCACAATTTCTTTGAAAAATAAAATTATTGAGTTTTCGCAAGATCTTTTACCTACGTAATAAAAAAAAAGGTCGTACTCAGTGCACAAGGCTCCCGCTTTACGCAGGGTCTGGGAGAGGTGAATGTCGGCTAGCCTTACCCCATTTATGGAGAGGCTACTCCCAAGTCTCGAACCCGAGACCTACCGCTCATGGGCGAAGGCACTTGCCATCGCACCAAGTAGAGGAAGAACAAATAAGGAAGTGATGTTTGTAACATGAACCTCGTATTCCGGTACAAATTTTCCCCCTAAAACACACTACATTTATCAAATTAATGTTGAATTAAACCCCAAAATAACATGGATTTCACAAAAAATACAATCAAGAACATGCCGTCGTCGACGTCGACACTTCAGTAACAAGTACAAATATTCGGACAGAAACTGTAAAGCGAAGCAGATGAACGCAGAAACTGACTAAAATGAAGATCTGCAACTTCACCTCCGACCCTCCTTACGATCGAAAGAGAAAGAAAAGAACTTGGTTTCTGAACAATCTACTCACATCAGAATTTGAATCCACAAACTATCCACTGTGTATAAAACTAATAGATCATAGCTAGAAGCCTGAATGTAGTTTACAGGGCAGTAGCAAGAAAACCTGCAAAACAGACGAGCGGCGAGCCACTGTGAATTACTCAACGATGAATTTGTACACGAAGTTTTAAGCGTGACACGAAAAGCAACCAAAAGAAATAGAACGAATTCAAGATGTAAAGAAATCAGATCATGCCAACCTCAATGTGCATGATTATATGATCCAACCCGTGGGAACATGGTTGTGAAAGTGTCTAGTGCAATGCTACATTTTCAAGCACCCAAACCTGATACCGTGAAGCTCAAGCATGCTCCAAGGCAGAATAAATTCTGGAAACTCGTCTTCGCAGTAATGGTTCTAACCGGAATGATGGAATTCCAGTCTGCCACTTTTTCGCTTCTTGCATCTCGTTCCAAGCTTGAACTATCTCGTCAATTTTGAACCCCAGACCTGCAACAACAGAAAAATGAGCTACTTAAATGTCTAAGGTAATTAAAAGAAATGGCAGCAAATGATTTAGTTTCGGAGTGCAAAACTTTGAGTCGTTTCACCTTCTAATGCATTATCATTTGAAGAGTGGTTTTTGAGCATGACTGCTATATCTGTTGGTGAAGCCCCGGCGAGCCCAAATTTTTCAACTGCGACTTCCAAACATTCGTTCCATACAGGTAGTCCTAACTTGAATTCAACAATAGATCGCTCGTAGAGCATAGTGCCCCATAGGAGATTGATCTGACACCTCATGCTTGTAGCCTGGTCTGCAGCTTCATTTGATGATACGTCTTTGAAAATTCCGTTCAAACCCATTTTCTGCACCTGAGTCTTGACACTACTTGGACAGGACGGTTCAGTCAGGCGTTGCTCTTCCAATTCCTCAAACAGCTGCATGCCTTTTTCCATATTGTCTTCGGCGTAGTTATAAAGTCGCAGAACCTCTGTGGAAGGCCACGTCTCCAGATCAACATTGCTGCTAATAGCATAATACCAAGAAAGTTTTGCCTGTTCAAACTGCTGCTGCCCGAGGGCCAGATAGCCTTCATAAAAGTCTGGTTTGATCTGCAGCGCTTCTTCGTATCTCCTTCCTGCTTGTATGTATTCTTTCTGTGCCCAATCGTATGCACTTTTGATATTTGAAATGATAGATTCTTTCGAAGGATCTTCGGTGAAATACACCTTCTTCCTCGCCCTGGCCATGTGAACATTTCCCCAGTTGAACAGAGCTAAAGCTCCCATTTCTTGGAACTTCATTCCTGCTATGTCAAACAGGTCCTGTGCTTCTTCACTCGTGATTGTCTCCTCCATTGCCTCCGAATAAAGCTTCATGCCAAATTCATGAAGATCCAAGTATGCATCAGATTCAATCCCGGCATAGTTCTTGAACAGCTGAGAAAAACTGATTATCCAATCCTCAATGCAAGGTGGCCTCTTTGTATCCTTGTGTTTTACCACGCCATTCTCAGCTACGCTATGTTGCCTGTTTTCCTCGATTTCCAGTTTCTCGAAGAAGGGATCCTGCTTGGGGTTAACTTCCACTACGTAAAGCCTGACAGACCCTTCCGATTCTGTTGATCCTTCAGCCCATCTCAGCTCTTCGTTACTAGTTATTGTGACCAAATCACCTTCTTGGTCTCTATACTTGATAAGAACTGCTTTGGAGCTTGGAAACCGGTCACGAACAACCTCTCTTAGTTGCAGGAGGGTGCAATATACAGGCAACTGAGCCCATCTTATATCCTCTCCAAATACCAATTTCACACTTCTTTTAGGCCCTTCTTCCTTTATGCTGCTGATTGTCTCCTCCACAACTACCTTGACCTCTACCTTCTTTTCCTCGGTTATTTCCACATCCTTCTTGTCTTCAGCTATTTCCACAGACTTCTCTTCCTCAGCTACGTCCACAGCCTTCTTTTCCTCGATCTTCTCCTCAGCCTTCTCCTCAAAATTCTCCTCGGACTTCATCCCAGCATCTTTTTTTCCCTTCTTCTTCTTCCGACTCTTCAACTTCATTACTTTCCCTGGCTGCAAAGCATGACTTGGTTCAACATAATCCAGAGGCAACTCAATTACTGTGTCATTCACCCTCAACCCCTTCTCCTCAAGTACGTTTTTCACCCGTTCTGCGATCTCCATTGCCATGACATTTTTTGGCTCCAGGTTCAAGACAGTGCCAACATCTCTCAGAGCCAAATCCAACCTATTCAAAGCCTCGTAACACTTTGCCCTCTTCAACAGCGCCTTACTGTACGTAGGCGTGACTTCAAGCACCAAATTACACTCATTGATAGCCCTCGGATACTCATTCAACCCCATCTGCATATAGCACGCTGCCATGTTACTCCTAAGATAGGATACATCGATATGGTTTCTCGGAAGCAGTTTGAGGGCTTTCTCATATTTCAACAAAGCTCCTTCAACATCCCTCTTCTGAAACAACTTGTTCCCCTCGTCCTTCAGTTCTTGAGACATCGAGATGAAAGCTTCTGTGTCCTTATCATTGGCTTCCGGGCTAGTATCCCCGACTTCGCTTTGATTCGAACTATCACCTGAAATTTCTCCTGCATTTTTCTTCTTTTTTCCTCTTTGCTTCCCCATCATAAACTCAACAACTCAGACAATACGTTTGAGCTACACCGAAAACTCAAACGTAATCTCACTACAGACCTCAATGCTCAAAACTCAGTACCTGATCCAATTAAGTAAACAGGGAAACAAAACTTATTAAAACCACTAATATCCTGTTTCCCCAACTTTCCCGAGAAACAAACAAGTCCTTTGCACAAGATAAACGAATCCAAGCCCAAAACTCAATTCAACACAAAACAGTTTCTCACGATTCACTCATGCAACAACAAAACAAATCAGAAACACACAGAGCAGCATACCAGAAGCAAAAGAAAAGCACTTTTCCCAGAAGCCAAATGCACCCAAAAAACCTCCTCCTGGAAAATCTGAAGCTACTACCTTGAAAGCTCAACTGGGATATCTTTCCCCAACCATAAAAATGACAAATTCATCAACTTTTTCCCTCCAAATTAGGATTTGTCACTGCCCACCAAATTAAAACAAATCCCAACCGAAAGAGAAGCAGCCGGCCCCCAATTCAGCTCAAAAAGCAAGCTTTGAGAAAAACCAAGCTTCTGGGGAGAGAGAAACTTATCTGGGAAATGAAAGCTCCGGCGTTTCCAGGAAAATCTCAGCCGAGAAAAGGAGAGAAAATTCTCTGGGCGAACGGGATGTTGCCAGAAATGGAAGGGGAAAAGAAAACCGACCAATGTCCGTTGGCTCCTTTTGTTATGCGGGAAGACACGATTTTTGCCTTTGTTCACTGCTTAACGTGTACGCCACAAAACCAGAGAGACGAAGAATCTGATAACTTGTAATTTCATCTTCTTTGTATTTCATCAAAATATAATATTGAAATTGCAAAAAAAATAAGAGTAAGGAATTAAAAAATTTAAGATGGTGGGCCCCTTGTTTCCGTGATTTCCAAGTTTCTTGGGGCTATTTGATTAGAGAGATTTTTCAATGTGCCGTTAATCCAGCTCGGTATAACAAGTATCATAGTACAAATAATTGAATATTGAAAAGAAGTTATAATTTCTTTTATTATGATGTTTGATGTATCAAATTGTTTTTTCGACACATTGAAAATTTCTCTTTCAATTAGCTATGGCCAGAGATCCAACCATTGAGCTGCTTGGATTTGCAATTGACTTCTGTTTGCTTGTTGTTGTTTTTTTTTTTTTTAAATTTATTATTTAATATTTGGCTAACAAAAAATATTTAAAAAAAAAGGAGAAAAAGCAAAAATACGGAGAAGAATACGATGGAGGGGTAAAATAGTCATTTCAGGAGGAAAAGCATGCAACTGGAAAAAGTGGGCAACCTCAACTTTTTGCCAGAGTGTTGCCCACGTGGCTGAGTGGGCATGTGAAGGAAAGTAACTAACTATCAAATATGGCGGGCCAAGTTCAACTGCCAAAATCACAAAGCATAAGAAAGTTTTTGCAGACTCGGCGAGTGGCAAGGCAAATCACATGGACAATTACAAGACAAGAAGTAGTGGCCTTTTTAGGAATTAAGACAGCGTGTTGGGGGACCCTCTATAAACTAAAGTATACTTCTAAGACGTTTCTAGAATGTGATACACATGTGGAGAAGTATTATTCTATAATTAAACGTCGTAACAGTATCACAAATTAATTATGCACTGGTAAGTTAAAACATATGATAATATAGTGAGATATCCCGAACCGGGATCATTGGTTAAGACAAGTATGTTGCAAAGCTAGAAGCCACGGCCCACCAACCTCTTGAACGTTTCTTTGGAGAAGAACTTTCTTTGATAATTTTTCGTAATAGTATCACAAGTTAATCATGCATTGTTAAGTTAAAACACATGATAATATAGTGAGATATCCCAAATCGGGGTCAGCGGTTAAGACAAGCATGTTGCAAAGCTAGAAGCCACCGCCCACCTCCCTGTTGAACGTTTGTTTGGAGAAGAATTTTTTTTTGAAAAAATGTCGTAACAGTATCACAAATTAATCACGCACTATTAAGCTAAAACACATAAAAATGTAGTGAGATATCCTGAACAAAGGTCAGCAGTTAAGACAAGCGTGTTGCAAAGCTAGAAGCCACCGCCCACCGCCCACCGCCCTCTTGAATGTTTGTTTGTTTACAATATTTGTGGTCGAGGCATTTTTGCCTTGTTGTGTCTTGTTTAAGTTTTGCTGTCAAGCCAAGTCAATAGATCTGACCAAGAAACAATAGCAATGAAATAAGAGGGCAAGCTGCAAGCACAAGACATCAAAACTTAGGATGAGGATCCTCTCCGGATCCAAGATTCTCACATCCTAACTGTTTATCGTACATCGTGCGGCGAGTTTTCCGAATGGGATCCAAATCTCAAAACTTGTTCGTTGGAGAAGCTGTTTTGCTTATGAGGCTGCCTTCGATGGTACGTACGAACCCCTCCAACTTGTAGTTCAGAAATTCAAGCCCAAGTCCACCAATTTGGAGTTTCAAATTCAAGCCCAACCCAATCCAATCTTCCAAATTAAAATTTTGGGCTTTGCAGCCCAACAACAATTTCACAAAAAAAAAATAAAAAAAACCACCTCGACTTAGTCAGTCCAGTCAGCAATACCATGTACACGCGGCATCTTATTATTGGCCAACAGCAGAAGGTTTCAATACCTCTTCCGCTCTGCGTCTCTCTGGTTCTTCCTCGAGACGTAGCAACAGCAGAAGGTTTCAATACCTCTTCCTCCTCCTGCTCTCTCTCTCTGCTTCTCTCTGGTTTCTGCAACTTTTCTTTTTCTCTGAAGAGGTTGAAAAAATGAAGGTGTTGGTGTTTTTGGTTCAAGTTTTGTACGTTCTGAGCTGCCTCGTCTCCGCCGATCAGATCTTCCCAGCTCACCTAGGTTAATTGCCCACTTCCCAAATCCATACATTTACCGCATACTTTGCATAATTTCGTTGTTTCTGCTGAAATTTGTTAAACCCATCCTTTTTTTCATTGCCATTTCTCTCTTTTTGATTACAAAATCTTGTCTTGCTTACCAAATTTTGCAAATTTCTCAACTATATATATGTGTGTGTGTGTGTATGGATTTGGGTTTTTGGCGTTCTACCAATCATTGTCAATCAGCTTCCGAGCTCGAAAGCAATGGCGGAATTTTCAGTTAGTTGGCAATTAGTTAAAAGCATACAGCTTCTAGCTTAATTAGTTTAAAAGTACCTGAGGGTTCATACATGTTGAGCTTTTAGTTTGAAGGGCCAAATTTGATGTAGGCTACTTTGATGATCAATTGGCTGTCTAGCAATTGTTACCATTTCAACTCGATGGATGAAAGTTTGTTCGTTTAATTTGATATATTGTGCTGCAAATTTAAGTTCTTTGATTCTTTGTCGTTTGATGAGCAGGTGGCACATTTCGTCGCAGCTCTCGTGAGCCAAAATACAGGATTGAATTCCATCCTGAAGACTCACCTTTTCATCCTGTAAGGAATACTGTATTTTTAGTATATCCATTGTTTTTACTTGTATTTGTTGTTTAACTTTCACATATATAAGATTTGATGCCAGTTTTTTTAATAAGTATATTTCTTGACTTTATACTTTGTTTTGTAAGTTTATCATCTCCAATTGATCGTGAAAATGCTCGATTTATTCATGCTTCGAAATAGTTATTATATATCAATTCGTTTACAGTTTCCATCCCAAAATTGCACACTTTATGTACTTTAGAATAAGCGATGCATTAGACATTTGCTCCTTGCAAAACCATGCCTCGTATCGTATCATATAATAGACTCAGACAAATGATTCTGTCACCTATTTGTTCCACATTATGGATAAGATCTGTGTACCTCGCTGATTTGTCTGTGAATTTTTCACTTGTCACAAATACGTAGTATGCTTGATCTAATGATTGGGTACGAATATTGCAGGATGATGGCCAGGAGTCTCTGGTTATGAATAACAATGGACAAAATTTTATATGCTACTTGCCTAAGGTGGAGGAGGCCAAGAGTGGGAAGCAAGTTCTTCAGCAGAATATTAGCAGCATGATTGTGGAAACTGAGAAACGAATTAAAATGAAGACACCGGATGAACTGCTTGAAGTACTCGAGGACCAATGCTTTGTCAGAGTAAGATCCGTGACATTAATACTCTCACTATTGTAGTTATATAACTTATAAAACTACAGTAATACATGTTTACCGTGCCCCCATTGGTTGATGATGCATTTACTGCAAACTACGCTAACATAACAAACTCCTTTATGCAGCAAGAGGGTTGGTGGTCATATGAATTTTGCTATCACAAGAGATTACGACAAATTCATGTGGAAGATGATAAGGTATTGTCTTATGTGCCTGTTAAGTGCTCTCATTTAAATGTTCTATCCTTCTATTGTTAGTTCTTATTTCTTTTGGATGCTTTGTAATATGTTATAACTGCATACAACGAGAGGAAGTGGGATAATATACACGGAAGTGTAAATAACTTTCACATTTATCTAGTGATCTTGGCCTTTGATGTAGGGTTGGCACACAGTATTTGATGCATTCCCACAAGTCCCCCATCCTTGTAGTGGTTACAGTGGTATATGTAGTAGTTGTGCTACAAGAGCGGTGTCATTGTTCCATTTGTTACGTTCTTGACCTTTTCTTTTCCAATTCATTGTTGTTATTAACGTATTATCATCTTTTTAGATATTCTCATTTCTTGTTGGAACGCTTTCAGAAAATTTAAAACCTCACAATAATACTCGTGGATTGGGTACTTTCTTCTCTTATTACAGGTGGTTCAGGAATTTGTTTTGGGTGTATATGATGCAGAGGCCACTGCTGGTGTCAACCGGAACCTCTCTGACATATCTACACTCAAAGATCCACGCTCAAAAGACGCATACCAAAGGTATGGAATTTGGCCTTTACAAAAATGTGTCGGGCAAGTTTGAGGGAAATATTTCTGCGGATAAGAAAGGAGAGATTGAATACGATTGTATGGCCTTGTAGGTACCATGCTCATCAATATACAAACGGGACTACTTGTGATCTTACAGACCTGCAACGAGAGACTGAGGTATGACGTCACTATATTTCTGTAGTTTTTCATTCCCTTCCGCATTTCTCCATCCGGTCCTTACTTCATATGGCATTTTGCAGGTGAGATTTGTGTGCTCAGAGGGCAGAGCTATGATTAATTCAATCACAGAGGTATCCACATGCAAGTATGCAGTTACAATCCAATGCCCCGCACTTTGCAAGCACCCGTGAGTCTCCTTCTCTCCCTCCCTCCCTCCCTCCCTCCCTCCCCCGCTCCATCATGTTTCGTGGCGTGTGTTCTTCTGCGATGTATGTTACTACTAGCTCTAATGACTGCGTTTTTCCCCAACAGAGCATTCCAATCAGAGAGACCAGTTTGGCAGACCGTTGATTGTAACGTGCTCCCCAAGGATTACAAGGAAACCAAAGCAGAGGAAGAATCTAATCCGGTTGCAGACGCAGATAGTGAAGATGCCGCTAATGAGGTTTCGGATGAGTAACATGTGTATTGATTCACTTAATCTTTGTGAATAGCAGTAACATGTTCATTGACATTCTTAATACATTTCCTATTGTCGTGAGTGTAGAGCCAAAAATAATACCAAACATCTAGAAGATGACACAGTGAATATTTTTTCATAAAAAGACAAAATTGCTCTCAATGAATGAGCAGGGCACACAAATATTCTCACATGCATTATAACATCCGTGGTGGCTTGAGCGGCTGGCTACGACTATACAAGCTCCCAAGCTCGTGATATGAAAAAGTCAAATGCATTTAAGATAGGTCCAAATTCCATCTTTAATACATTTCTGGTTGAAGA